TACAGGACCTTACCCCGATCTAAGGTCGTACCCTGCTTACAAAGTCAGCAGTGTGAAGGGCCAGCAATTACTCAAAAGTAAAGATGAGAAGAGAAAGGTGCAGGGAAACTGGAGCAATGAAAGGGAATGAACAAAACATAGAGCAGGGGAGGACAGACACTGTGTGACAATGAAGGCAGATCAGCAGGGGACCAGGAGTGCCAAGGAAAGATGCTGAGAGACGAGGAGGATCTTCATTAGTCAGTGCCCACATTTGTACGTTTGATCCCTGGGCTGTGGGAAAATGAACTCTTCTTTAAAGCCACCCATTTGTGGGATCTTTTGTCGTGGGAATTCTAGGGGATGAGGACAACACCCGCTTATGGAGGACCCTCCCCACCGGGACTACTGGTCCCTAGATACCCATCATGGCCACATGGAAATCCAAGCAGAGGGTCCTCATTGGCATGAAGCCTGTTGCACCCAGGATGGGCATGGGATTCTGAGCCCATGCATCTCCCAAAGCCACTGGGGTATGGGTCTCTGACAGTCTCTCAAAGAATCTCCCACTATCACCCACCTCTCTGAGCCATCCCTGCCATTTACAGTAGGCTCAGCCTTTTGAACCTCTGCAGATCTGGAGCTGACTCCTGGCACAGCCAGTGGTGGTGGTGGGTGGAGCTAACCAGAACAAGGGGCAGAGGTGGACAGGGGCACCTGGCTTTAGGGTCAGACAGTTCCAGGTTTTATGCCGATCCTGTCAACTCCAGCATTTCCACCGTGCTTCCCCAGTCTCTGGGGACTGCCAGAGCAGGGCACCACAGCCCTGTGGCTTTACACAGCACATGTTCACTGTCTCACAGTTCTGAAGGCTCTCGGCTGTGTAGACTCCCGAGGTGCTGAGGGAGAACCTATGTCATACCCCTCTCCTAGCTTTAGGGTAAGTCCTTGGCATTTCTTGTAAACAGACCCTTACATGGCACCCTGTGTTTCTGTGTCTGTCCTTCCTTCCACATATTGCCATTCAGAGGATTAGGGCCCACCCTCCTCTGGCAGGCTTTTGTTAACTGCCCATGTCTGCAAAGAGGAACCTTCTTTCCCCGACAAGGTCGCAGTCCCAGGGATTAGGACTTCAGCATATCTTTGGAGGACACAGTCCAACTCATAGCACCTGTGGCACAGGGGTGCTAATAACTTTTGATTGTGTTTCTTCTCCTGATGACTTCATTATTGCTTGTCTTCAATGGACTCTAAGCTACATACAAGAGGGCTAAGATGAGGCCTATCTCGTGCCTTATTGTACCTTGTCCCTGGATAGAACCTGACACCAAGTATGGGATCACTAGTTGTGGGTGGGTAAGTAGATAGATGGTGCATGGATTAGGACAGGGGTCCTCAAACTATGGCCCGCAGGCCACATGCAGCCCACCGAGGACATTTATCTGGCCCGCTGGGTGTTTTTGCCCCGTTTTTTTTTTTTTA